TCCATGGATCGCTTTAAAAGTAATTATAATAATCTTAAAATGAATCCTAAATTCTACTGGAAGCCAATGAAGCATACACAGAATTGGTGAGATGTGATAAAACCTTGTAATCTTAAAAATAAGTCTTGCTGCGGAATTCTGGAGCCGTTGTAACTTTGCTATTTGTTTAGCTGGTAACTCATACAGAATACTATTACAATAGTCCATGCGCCCAATTATTAGGGCATGAACAAGTGTCTGGGTTGCTTGGTTACTTAAATACCTTCTTATTCGTCTTACATTTGTTTCTTACATTTGTAATGTAGTAATAGGCTGCTTTACACGTGTTATTGATATTAACTTGAAGACTCATTTTGCGGACATGATTGCGAAACATGTTTTCTCGGAAAACGAAGCGCTCGTCACTGACAACCAATGGGCCTACCGAAAAGGAAGATCAACAGAGCTATTACTCATCCACCTGACTGAAACTTGGCGACGAGCAATCGATAACAAATTAGTTGTGGGCGCCGTATTCATAGAGTTCCAGAAGGCGTTTGATTGCGTTTCACACTCAATTCTTCTTCACAAGCTAGAGCACAACTTTGGAATCACAGGAAACTTACTGGCATGGCTAAGAGATTATCTATCTGAACGGGAACAGTATACTGTAATTAATGGCGTACACTCTGAGAAGACCAAAGTTGCACACGGTATACCACAGGGCTCCGTACTCGGGCCCATACTCTTCGCCTTGTACACAAGCGATCTACCGAAAGCAGTTAACACTGCAACGACGTTCCTGTTTGCTGATGATACTACCATGTACTGTGTTGGTGAATCCGTAGACCAGGTCACAACAACGCTGAACAAAGCTCTAGAAGAACTCGCCCTCCGATGCAAACATAACTCCCTGGTACCACACCCCAAAAAGGTCCGAGGGAATGATCCTTAAACGAAATCATTTTATCGGTCCCTTAGGCAGTTTAAAAATTAATCAGCATCTCATAAAATGGTCCTCAAGTTCTAAGCTGTTAGGTGTAACCATTGACAACAAGCTTACGTGGACAAAACACATCGGAGCTCAAGAGGGGGTTCGTTAACAAGCTCAATCTAATCAAACGCAGCCGCTTTTTACCCAGGAATTCGCTTTTAGATCTATATTTTAAAGTCTTTTTACCCTCGGTTACATATGCGTTACCAGTTTGGGGGAGTTGTACAAATAAAAATGAATTTAATTCTTTGGAATTCATACATTGTAGGGCTGCTAGAGTTATATATAACCTCCCGCGAGACATGCCCTCTGAGGATCTAAGAAAAACAGCTAACTGGGACTCTTTATTCGACACTTATAAGGTCAAAATAGCCACCTTAATTTATAATATATACAACCGCATAACTCCATCATGTTTGGACCATATAATCCAAAGGAAAGAGTCTAAGTATGACCTCCGTCATCAACATCGTGTTAGCGTACAACGTTTTGAAACTTATTATATGAAAAACTCTATTTCTTACAGAGGTTCCATTGTTTGGAATCTTTTAGAACCATCCGCTGTCAGCGCCAGGGATTATGCCAAAAGGGCAAAAAAGTCTCACGCCTCAGAAACTGGAACTTTAATGAAGAGTCACCGCAAATGGGTCGTCCCCAAATTGACAGTGATTTCGTCTTTTATTAATTCTATTCATAGTTTTTATTGTACATATTTCACCTTTTATTGACTAAATTCAATTTTAACAATTTTTATTATTTTATTTTTATTAACATTTTTTACACGGCCCCATAAGCTATATTAGCTTTAAAACCCACCGTGTTTAAATAAAAGATGTTGTTGTTGTGTTGAAGGTGAGTTCAGAAAATTCGTTGAGAGAAGGCCTTCGAAAAAATTGTGGTCATTTTCTTAAAGGCCTACAATTTACGAAGTGTATAATACAAAACATGGGCGTTATGGAAAAAAAGGTGATTAAAGCAACTTACCGTTTCTTTTTTATAAACTTTTTCTTTCTTTTCCCTGATTTGGTCTTTAATTGGCGGAGGTACACCACTAGGCCGGTGTGAAGTTTCGCTGTTTTTCTTTTCGTCCTTCAATCCTCTGATGCTACCGAGTCTTAAAGCTGGCGGGCGACTCGTTTCCGAAGGAGGTCGATGTGGTCCACTCGGCAGGTTATGAGGAAATGATCTCGGCTGCAGCTTGATACTTTCCACTACAAAACGTGGAATAGCATGGTACCTTATACGCTGCTGCGAAACATGTCTTTCCAGTAATCGACTCATATTACTAAACGAGATTTCATATACAGTAGTGGCCATCGTTTGTCCCCCGTGAGAAACGTGCCACGGATTTCTTTCTTACATTGTTTAACGAGATAATTTGACGCGTAATAGTGGTAATTGTTCCATGACAGCAGTCACAGCGCGCGCTAGCCCGCGTACACGGTTCATCAGTTAAGGTTTACTAGGGCGGATACAGTGTTGGGCGGTGAAACGAGCGCTCTGCTCTTCATTTAAGAAACGATCCGGATAACAACGATAGCAACCACGGCAACGAACATGTTGGAATGCAAAAAAGTTGCTAACTTTTCTATTGTCTGTACTTACTTCTGATTGGCTTAAACACCAAAAGTTAACAAAACTTCATAAAGCGGTACATATATTCATCCTTACTTTCCAACCATCTTCCATAGAACAAAATCTGGTCTCAGTTTGAATAACAAAGAAATCCTATGTGGGGAACATGTAAAATTGTAAACTTATCTTGGCTATTGTTTTCAACTCTTGTGATTGGTCAAAATCTTTTAACACAAAAAAACACCCTTTCAAAGTTGAGTGTAAATGCACTTTATTACGTAAACGGCCTTCACGTACGTTTATGCATTCTCTGTGTAAAAATGAGAACATTCCTATGTGGGCATAGCACTGTTGCCGCATAACAAAAGAAATTGCTATCCACCTTACCCGGATCATTACTTTACGTGTGATGCAGAGCAGGACTGGCACGAGCGCTCTTTCCGCGCTTCCGGTGCGCTTGAAGGCCGGTGAAATTTTCCTTTTTGCAAACCGGAAATCCTATTTTCTTTCTGTAATTTCAGTGTTAAATAGATAAATTCGTTTCATAACAATATCAATAAACAGTTTCATATGTTTGTGTCTGGAAGCCTATAAGTCAAACTTGTTGGTCGTATAATGCCAAAATTTGAGTTTAATTTGAAAGTGTTGAATACCTCCTCCTTCCACTAAATATCGCCTAATCGTCTTTCGCCGTTTCGTGTGCAAAAGCTTAACACTTCTTAACCTCAATTTTTACATATGTTAAAGGGGATAAATTTTATACAACATAACAAAAAATTAGGTTGATATATTTTGATATAGTGGCGTTGTACTGCTTCAAACTTTGCTTGTCGAGTGCGACGCGCCATGGCGATTCGCGCAATGCGTCACAAATCCGGCAACCGCATGTAAACAAAATTTATTGAGGTTAGTTGTAAGGTTTTTTCTCCGTTTTTCTCTCTAAAACAAAAACAACACAAAAAAAATGATGTTTTTTTCAAAATTAAAAAGAAGGATGATAGCGATTGAAATTAGCATAATTTCACCTTGGATGAGCTGCACGCATTTATAAAATACACGTCATCTAGTTATGAAAGACGATCTGCTATCTTTTAGTTTTGCCACGGATGACATGGATGAGAATTTCCTTAGCCTGCGTAGCTGGCGGTATTGTGTAGGTGCGAGATTAAAGTTTTGGCGGCGGAGCCGTGTTCCAAAAAAAGGGAGTAGGGACGAGGCGGTTGAAATACTCGCGGCTTCGCCGCTGTGCCGTCAAATCTCACTCGACTATATTACAACGGCTCTGCCGCCAAATCTCACTCGACTATTACACTGTACCGCCAGCTACGCAGGCTAGATTTTCGTTCGTGTTTTAGACAGTACTTAGTTGTTTTTGTTTTGGAATAACATCGACATTGGCGAGTAGTAGAACGAAAATATAATTCAGTGGTAGAACCATGCAAGTAATAAGAGAAAACCTTTGAAAGAGATGTTTGTCTACTCCAACTAAACCTCTCGCAAAAAATAGCAACATTTGCCTCTCGGAGACAGCGTACCAGCACAAAGGAACGAGGAAGAAGTGCCAGAAAACAAATCAAGCCGCCATAATTCTGTGACAGCTGCAGTGTCTGATGGACAAACCTCATCGCAAGCTCTGACCGAAGTCGAAAACACACTGAAAACACGCGTACACTTCGGCGTCGTGGTTGTGGAACTGATTAAATGCGGAGGAATAGTAAGAAATGAAATATGGTAAGAGTAAGGTGTTAATTTGTGAAATTATTGGATTTACCAGGATATTCTGAAAAGAGCAACATCCAAGAGGCCTACTTGCCAAAAACTAGCATTTCGGGACAAATTGTCTCTGAGATATTAGCCCAGTTATGCTCTGATGACTCCATACAAATCCTTCTAAATTTGACTTGGGTCTAAAGGTTTAGACCCAAGTCAAATATGAGGTTACTGGCGGTGAATAACAAAACAAACAGTGAAAAAAGAATTCTCTATTTTTCTTAGTCACATCAGGCTTCAAAAACAGCATAGCAGTCTCATCTACTGATTAAAGGTGTGTAAGGCATGGGTAAGGAGTCAATTACGTTGAGCAAGGAATTGGCTGTTACGAGTTCGAATGTTTTGAGGATAATTATTCACTGACTATCAGCATGCAGGAATGTCGGATTAACACAAGGAAAGTTTAATACCAAAGGAACATAGCCTTTTCAGAGCTTTAAAACGCAGCAACCGCCAACACAAACTTGACTTGAACTAAAGTATAACTAAACAGCCTCTACCAATAATAACAAACTCTCACTTGAACTTCAGATATCTTACGACTTCCGCAAAGTTGTAAACACAGAACTTGAAAATCGACCTTCGTCACACTTGACTAAACACAGCAGTCCAGCTTGTGGGAAAAAAAAGTAGTTCGTCAAATGACCTCGCTTGAAACTTGTATACCGTTTGACATAAGGTTCTAGAAAATACTAAAAGGGCGAATAGTAGTAGCTTTTCGACATATTATATGATTTCAGTAACTGATTAGCCTGAAATTCATCCGACTGCTTCCAGTCGTTTTCTCCTCTCAACAACGTCTGAATCGACCGGCCGTTAATGCCGTCCAGTGACGTCACTCACTACCCGAAAACCGGGTAGTGATTTTGATTGGTTGATTGTCTAAATATTCGCATAATTATGTATAATTATGAAAAATTTTAGCCGGATTGTCCCTTTATATTCAGCTGATCGCATCCCTGGCATTCTTTCGTTTAGTTCAAACATTTCGACAAGCTTAATCTTTATCTTAAGCAGCAAAATTGCCCTTGTCTTCGAAACTGAAATGCTAAATTGAACTGCGAATGAAGAATCATTGCGGGGAGTCGGTAGGTTTTCCATTTAGAGCCGCTTTGTGGTTTCGGCGGCCCGTGATTTTGTTTACTTGAAGTTTTCTGAGATCAATGTTATATTTCGACCTTCTTGCTATTTTTACCGTCAAGTGTAATGATTCTGTTAGCTTTTCTTTCTTGTCTCCTTGTTTTTTTCCTTGGTTTAGGACCAAATAGCTTTTTTTTAATTAAAGCAAATCATTGTGTTTTTGAACTAAGTGTTCCGTGTGTGTGTTTATTTTATTGCGTGATTGCGACCGAGTTTGATTATAGAATTTAGTACAACCGGTTCAGAGTTAGAAAGTACAGATAGTTTGAACGTTAAACATGAATTACGATCGAAAAAAATAAAGCAGTTCTGTATCATCCAGACATTTCCAAACGATATTTCTCGGTTTGCCACTTGAAAATAGTGTTTTACTTTTTGCATGAATGAAAGCAAAGGTCAAGGAGTAGTGACGTCACTGGACGGCATTAACGGCCGGTTGATTCAGACGTTACTGAGGGAGTAATAACGACTCGAAGTAATCGGATGAAATTCAGGCTGGTAACTGATGCAAATCTGCTGACTCCTGCTGAAATGTAAACATGCCCTAATTGATTATTTATGAATAATCCAAAAAAGTAGAGAACGTTCGAGAAAGCCACGCAACGCATGAAAGCAATTTTACTACGTAACACTCAACAAAGACAAAATGTCTTTGTGCAGCATTTTGTAACTTTAAATTCATCATAAAGCAGTTCGAAAGGAGGGCTCACTCGTGAAATGTTTTTCAACACTCGAAGAGAAAATTCGTTTCTCTGCGCGGCCACGTAATATCCTCTATTTGTTCCTCGAGTAAATTAAAGACTCAACTCGAAGTGATCTCAAGATATCACAAAGTAGTCCGGTATCATTTCGTGAAATAGCCGAAACAAGCCGAAAAGTCGCGAACTTGCACGCCCAATCTTGTCCCGAAACTAGTGCATAATTTCATAACTATTTTTCATATCCAGAACTAGCTTGGGCCGCAGTAGCGCAATCGGCGAATCCCTCAACTTAGAGTCTCCTCTGACCTGACGGGTCACACAGGTGAGTCGGTTCAAACCCCGGGAAAGCCAAAATAATAATTCCTTCTTCCTCGAAAAAGTTAAAGAATAAATCAAAGAAATCGAAGTGATCTCGAGATATCTCGAACTAATTTGGCTCTCACTTCGTCAAATAGCCGAATAAAACCGAAAACCTAGAGACTTTACATGCCCAATCTCGTCAAAAAATGGTAACTTTGATACATTCCTGAGCGTCGCGAATCCTTTACTTCGTGCTCCGCCGAAGTAACAAGCTACATTTTTAAGCAGAGTCCCAGTCCGCTGCATCACACCTTTTTGCTCGGACGCTCAACCGCCCAACCTTTATCCGCCCTGGGGTTTACAGACTGAGTGCTTTATGCACCTGTCAATGTAATGCCGGCGGAGGGGGGAGGCAGGGCATGGGGTGGGGATTTGACTTTTTTCAAAATTTGCAATCAAATTCCCTGCCCACGGGCAAATCATTCCAGTCAAATGCAACCAAATTTCCCCACCCCAGGCTGCACATTGCTGTCAATCCCAAGGCAGAACCCAAGAAAGGCACAATAAAAATATCTCTAAGTAAAACTCTGCAATCTTTTATAAACGTTGCTGCATCAGCGAAGATATATGTTTCTGCTACAGCTGCAATTATACGTTTTAACCATAATCCGTGTTACACTGCGTAGAATACATAAACCTTTTGGAGAAAGTTCACATTTTGTAAGTTTAAATATACCGTTCTTAGTAAAGGGTACAAAGAAAGTCAGTTTTATAAGTTTACAGTAATTGTAGCGAATGAGCCATACACTAATCAATTGTACTTGCAAAAATCGACTTGGTTTCTCTTTACTCCGTTTACTTAGCCTGCGAAAACATCCGTTTCTCCTCGCTCTTCGCCGCTAAACGTCCCCAGCGGCGAATAGCGAGAAGAAACGGATGTTTTCGCAGGCTACCGTTTACTTTGATACCACAGTATTTTAAGAGGTTCAATTGATCAAAAACACGCTAAAACAAACGAAATTTGAAGACAACACAGTGAAATCCACTCAGCCTTCGCTTGCTCTCATCGGCCTCCATGACTTCCTGATCTTTTCAAACCGTACGGCGCATGCGTGGAGCGTGGAAACATATGTTCGGTCTTGGGTCTCAGTCTTTTTCGTCCGAGTCGGCAGTCAAATATCTTCACGTCGGGCGAAGAAAGATTCAAATATCCCCTCCCCTGGGAGAACAAGATCAGTCAAATGCCCTACCCCAGGGCCAACAAAAGACAATCTAATCCCCACCCCATGCCCTGCCTCCCCCCGCCCCCCCACCCGGCTTTACATTGATAGGTGCATTACTTACAAATGACGACAAAGAACACACGCCCAATGTAGCAAGATCAGTACGCAGAATTTCCTAAAAGTTCATTCCAAGGACAACAAAAGCGTTTACTTGCTGGTTAACGGCTTGGCACAGGACCTCTGTAAATAAATACGGTATATACGCATACATACACTGTTCACAGGTAGCCATTACGACACCTGAAGGAGGATCATGAGGTTATCCTTATAGTAACATCTCTCCTTACAGATAACCCACCCATCCCTGGAAAGGTTAGCCTCACCACCGGGATCTACCTACCCTACTCTTTTCGAACAGTGCTCTGGATTCTTTTACGTCCCACAAGAACCAGATAAGTGAAAGTGCTGTGAGACGAGACCAACGGTTTTTCGTCCATTTCCGAGAATACTAGAAAGTCTAACCGTTTACAGATGTCATTACAAAGGCATCACTTTATTTAAAGACCCCGAGTGTTGGTCCTGCCGGGATTTGTACCCACGACCTTCCGCTCAGCAGACAGGCGCTCTCCACCTGAGCTGTATAAGGAAACTTAGTTATAATAATAATAATAATAATAATAATAATAATAATAATAATAATAATAATTATAATAATAATAATAATTATAATAATAATTATAATAATAATAATAATAAAGCCAAATCTTTTATTGATAACAAAGCTAACTATAAAATCCTATTTACAATTAATTCCACTTAAAAAACTATTCCCTCCAAGCACTATTTACATTATTCCTTTCGATTAAAAGAAGACACTTAATTTCGATTGAAAAATAATAATTATTATTATCATTAATAATAATAATAATAACAATAATAATAATAATAATAATAAAGTATTTATATAAGTGCCAGTATCCTTAAAGTTCAAAAGCACTAACAAGAACAATAAAATAATTAAAAAATTACGAAAAAGCTTTTTAAAGCTTAGAGACTAAAATAAAAATGGCTAAAAAGTTATAAAAATGCTATTTAAACTATTTTTCAAGTTCCTTGACAATTTGTCGTACACTGTATCAAGCCTTCACTAAGCCTACCAACACAAATGTATTTCCGTTCGTTGCTTCTCTCCACCCAAAAAGAAAGAGAGAAGCGACAACATGTGTTTGCATGCTAGCCTTCACTCTAAATTATACAACTTACTCTTGTCCTGAAAATTTAAATTTCTTTGTACCCAGTTATTCCTGAAAAGTTTTTAGTGGTTCTTACTTTTCTTCAAGAATTTACTTAAAGAAAATTAACCCAATGAATCATGAAAACCAACACAACAAAACGAAAGTAAGAATAACATCTTTAATCACAGTCCTCAACAAAAAACGTTTTCGAACTCATTTACATTTAGCAATCGCTTCACAATAGTGGGATTTACACAATTCAAGTTTAACATGTGACTTTTTAAAAGAATGTTACAATATAAACATAGAGAGTTTCTTTCTCCATGGAGATTCAGTTAACAATCAGAGACTACAAGATCAAGCCTGCTGTGTTTGACATGGTTCAATCTTTGCCTTCAGCCCACTCACACATTTCTTTATACCATTCCTCCTCCCATGGCAGCATGTGAAGAACCTCAAATGAGACACACAAAAAACAAAAAATCAAATGCCAAGCAAGGAAACTTGCTTGGAAGTTTTATTATCATTACTGGAGTCATAGAAAAGCCATAAATGCTCATTAGGCCTGACCTAGTGTAAAGGATCATAATATTCAAACAATGATGCATTTGATTGGTAGCCTGCAAATACAACCCTCTCTCCTTGTTCTTTGCTACCAGGGACGTTTTGTGGGACAGACTTCAGTGTCTCAACGACTGAAATCAGTGAAATGCCATGCTAATGATGTAAAATGTGTCCAGAATCTGGACAGGAGCTCTGATTGGTTGATGTAGTTATTATATTCTTTTAGCTATTGCAGACAGAAGAAAAAAGGTCACACAGGTGACATGTGATGAATCTACTACGAAACAGTCAATATTTGTGGAATATAATATCGCTATTTGGAAGAAGTGTTGGAGTTTTGTTGCCACTTGTTTGCAAGATAAACTCAAAATTTTACAATAATAGACCATCAGTACAGCATATCTATCGTTGAAGTGTAGATGTCTCTCCTGCAACCATCCCATAATGAAAGAAGCAAAGAGACACAGTTGTATTCACAGGCTATTCTACAGCATCACTGTCTTCATTAGTGTTAACCTTAATGGCATTCACTATTGTCATCTGACAAAAAGTGACAGTTCAGTGAGTGAACTGACAGTGATTTTTTAATCACTTAATGTTATGTCACTAAATAGGCAAAAATCATGTGACAACACAACCTTGTTCCCAGGGTTTTTGGAGAGAACCCTGGGAACAATGTTGGTGACAAACACTGAGCTCAGTCATCGTATACACAATCTGTTGTGTAACTATTAATTTTGTAATTTTAGAATTCAATGTATTTACCATTTGCTTTAGCTGTAGCATTATATTACTGTGCCTATTAGTGGCTGCTTTAATGACTTTCCTTCTGGAAGTTCATACTGCATTCACATAATAAAATAGACCGGCTCAGCCTAAGGTGTTTACACTTGGGTAGTTTTCACTCAGTTGAAAGCTTCAATACCTTAATTTTACCTGACCTTCAGACCAGAGTGTACCAAATAAAATATGTTGTTCTATAGCTTAACCCATGGTATAGTGGCCAGCCTCGTGTCAACTAGGATGGAAATGCAGTATTATCCATCTTTGCCCATGGTTTCCCTTTAGTCTGCATTATTTGGTATCATATTTGCCCTGAGAAAATTTCATGTAAATCTAATTTTTCATCCAGTGTTTTCAGGCTACAAAGACTGTAGGTATTGGAGGGTGGCAATTCTCGTCATATTGATGTTAAAATACCATTTTCCACAAGGGTAAGAGTTTTATTATTAACTTTGGAGAATTTTAGGAGCTACATGTATCCCAGGAACTGTTCAGTTAATCATGTGCCACCATAAATGAATTTCTGTATGATTTGAATTTGAGCTGGTAAAGACTATCCATGAAACTTTTTGACAAGTTTTTGTATTTTTCCTGTCACAAAGTTATGTATCTGAAGTTTAGTCCAAGCTGAAAAGCACACTCTACTGCTAGCAGGGGAATTAATAGGCCTTATTATTCATTCAAAATATTGCTCCATTTCTGATTGGCTCAAATGACATGCATAATTCATCAGAACCAGCTATCGTTGACCAAATTTGGAGGAATTTTCCCATCTTGAACCGATGACATCAATTGTGCGACAACATTGCCAGATTATTCAACCGTTAACTGGGAAAACCTCGGGACAAGGTTGAGTTATACAAAGTGGTGGAACTTTTTACTTGTTTCACAGGGCTGAAATAGGAGGACTTTTAGCTAAAAACATGGCATAAACAGCAAGAAGACAACTTGATGGATGACATCTTCTATAAGGAGAATATTTGCAGAACTGAACAACCCTTTATCTCCTAAACCTGCCAATAAACATGCACTAATCGAAGATGAACTTAACATCAATGGAGGTAAGCATGTTCACATGTAAGCTTGTTTTTAAAATTATGGACATCTCGGAGGGTGTTATCTGCCTCAGCCTATTGCCTCAGAGGATAACACCCTCCTTGATCTCCATAATTGTTCAGATGATACTCAGCCTCATTCAATAATAAATTGTTAATTATGCAAACACACTTGGGTTCATAGCAGATGCTCCTCCTCCCTTCTTTCCCTCCCCTTTATGCATTACCTGCCACACAGGCTGTAGTCTAGGCACCCTCCAAGTACTTAGAATAGTGAATTTACACAACAGGACAGCAGAAAAAAGAGGATGGCAAAACGCTTGAGTGTGATAGGTGTGAGAGAGCTATAATGTGCATGTTGTGTTGTGACCTTCACTTAACACTGGTGTTTTCTGGTTCCTTATCAAAAAGACCTGATTAAAGGAACGTAAAGGGTGGCAGAAAAGATTTTCAAACATAATTGTTGTCACTCGTCACTCAAGATTTGCTGTCTTTCCTGTCCTGTTCACTAGTGTCCTTGCCTGTGGTCATGCTGAAACGCAGACCATGTGGATTATGTTGAAACGCAGACCATGCGGACTGAGTGTTATTTTTATTTACAAGTACTTTAATTTCTCTTGTTGGACATTGATTAAAGTAGTAAATACTTTCACTGGTTTCCCGCTTCTTCTCATTATGAAGACTACAGGTCATGACTAATAAAATGAGAAAATCATGGGCTCAGTTTACCATGCGGACCTATTTTGATTTCTTTAAAGTCAATTAGTTTTCAACCGGTTTCATATAAAACAGAGGCAAGTACTTGTAGTAGAACCAATGATCTGAAATCGTCCTGCTTTCTCGCATATGTACTGCCTTGAAAGCTACTGGGTCTGAAGTGTCATTCAGGTGTCTTATGTACTGCAATAGTCTCTGTGAAGTAGCTTTTTTGAAAACACAATCCAGACTCCATCCAATAAAAAATCAGCATTGGGTTCTGCTTCTACAGTTTCTGATAGCTTGTCTTGGATTCACTGTCGGCAACCCTTAGGTACTACACATCCAAATGCATTTTTTTGCCATATGTTTACTTTTCATCCAGAAACCATTGAGGTTGGGACATTCAGTTGGTCAATTAAAAATTCTTTGTCACCTAACTGAAAAGTATAGAGTAAGTAGCCAAGGGCCTAACACAACTGCAGGAACAGGAAAAATTAAGGTACAAGTAAATAAAAATAACACTCAGTCAGCACAGTCTACACGGTCTGCAGTCTGCATGGTCTGCGTTTTGACATGACCGCCTTGCTAGGGGTGTCCTTAGCTTCCCCTTGAACCTACAACTTTTCTCACTTTTTTCTTTCCAATATTAGAGCGGACTTTTGAATATGGCCTTCGCGGTATTTATCGGACATTTCACCAAAAAATCACGAAAATACTTACGTGGGGAGGGGGTGGCAAGTTTCTCTCCCATTTGCTACCGTCTGGACTTACGGGATCTAAAACAGTTGAGACCAATTATTGGGTTGATATACTGTATATTCAGAGTATTTGTATAAATGTTACATTCCTCCCGGCAGAACATTTTAGTATTACCCTTTGCAGTAGAGATATAAGAGGAAAAAAGTGTACAACACTTACCGATGTAGGGAAACGGGTGTCTTTTGTTTTCAAATTCGATTTCTGCATCTTGCAGAACCTTGTCTATCATTTTCTGGTTAGTCTCGTTCTTATACTTATCAAATCTATCTCTCAGTATCAAGGCCTCTTCTCTCCATGACTCTCTATCGATACACCACGAAAGTAAGTGCTTTAGGCTGTTTCTGTACAAGCGCATAACGCGCTGCTGATGTGTGATTCCCTTCTTCAAATGAGAAGCGATGTACGCCATCTTGGATATTGGGAACAACGCGCTCTCATTCCCAGGGTTCACTCCGCGCCTGTTACATGTAGTTGCGTTCCAGCTACGAGAACGCAACCCCTAATTTGTGTTGGGTGTTCTGTGCATTATTGGGTACCCTGTGCAATTAAGAAGGGAGGTTTTTATTTGGGCGTGGCCAAAATAGAGTAATGGAAACGGCTTGTTTTGACGCAGATGTGCAATAGGCACGCAATACGTGTTAACGTAAACAAGGCAAGTAAACAAGCGAAGCGAGGCGAATGTCTGCCATGCGAACGTCTGATCTGGTTAGCCTGAGATCATGCCCTCTCCCTATTATCCCTTTATGTCTCTTACGGGAAGAGGGCATGATACATTTCTTTGTCGGATCACATGTAAAGAAGCCAGAATCTGGACTTTTTTCTGATTGGATAGGAAACAATACGGATGATTTGCGCTGTTCCGATTGGTCAAAATGCCGCCATCCGTTAGTTGTTGTTGATTTCAGTCTGCATTTCTGCTTGCGTAATGAGCAGTGAATACACACGCGAGTTCGTTATGAAATTTCTGCCGGCTCAGTTTTCTTGAATTGGAAGAATGCCTAAATAGAAGTTTCATCCATTGAAATATTTTCCATCTCATCGTATACTAAAACAGTTGCAGTCAAAACTTCATTGATCATTTGAATGTAATTTGATACCAGCTACAAGTTACGGAAGCGACAAATAGGTTCACTTTTCAAATAATCAATTCATGAATGGAATCTTGACCTGATTTGACTGTAATTACTCCTTCAGAATTCATGCTGCGAATTATTCTAAACGCGATCTTCACTTTCACAACACCTTTCAGTTCGTGAAATATGGTGCTTCAGCCTAATTTTTTTTCACTGCTTTCGGCACAGAACGAAGTCAACGAGCTTTAACCAGTAAATTCTTTATTATTTGTAGCTGTTAAATAAAGGTACGGCAGCTCCAGCTAGCATTATTTCATTACAAAAACAACACATTAAATTTTTGTTAGGAAGCGCCATCTGAACATGGACGTATTTCAAAATTTTCTTTTCCCCAAAATTGATTTCAAAAGAGACATTATTCGCGCCAAAATTTGATTCCCATATGGTAAGCGCTTATTGGCTAATAACATGACAGGTTAAGAAGAAGTTAGATTATGTAAATTAGGGGGCGGTTGACTGCTTGTTAGATAAATGTATCAGGCGTTATTTTTTTTCCCCCCCGAGCCAAAGAAGCAAAAAAAAAAAAAAAAGACACTGTGGGACCGTATATTTGGGCGTGGTCGTACTATTCGTATGATACTTTGAACATGCCTTATTGCAGCTAAACAACTGTTATCATATCTTACCAGAGAAGATAAATCCTTTACTCTACTTATTTGCTGAACCACACAGCTTATACAGTATGTCCCAATCCACAACAATAATCCTGTCATTTCACGACAATGTTTGAAAATGTGCACATCTTCAATGCCGACATGCTTGGAGCCAAATTGCAACATAGGACATAAGTGGTTACAACCCGGAGAGTAAGGTTTATCTCAGCTCCACTGATACTGACACTTCGAGGAAGATTGACTGACACATGTGTTTTCACACCCATCACATTGTACAGTGTATTTCGGTTACTAACAAGGGCAAATAAATTTCCTTAAGTCCAGCATTCACAATGATTATTAAGAGAGTAACACATTGTATAAACTGTCATTGGGTAGCACTGTTTACAGGAACATCGGTAACTATTAACATTTGATATACTACAATGTTCAACATTGCTTGAGAAAAGATGAGCTTCAAAGGTGGCAATATGTACACCTTTAAGTTCATATATATCCTCATTCCTATGTAGAGTCTGAAAATATACTAATTTATGCATGGATGGTATTTCCAACAATGCACATGTCCCTTCACTATGACTGTTATGATACATATCTCTAGCATGAGAATCAAATACTTTATATCCCCCAGCCTCAAATGCTGTAGATACCAACACCAATAATTGCTACCGTTAAAATGAATGAGTTGTAGTTCAGTGCCAAGAGTGTTTCAACTGCTGTACCCTGTGAGTGCTGGCATATACACTAACAGTAGTGATACCCCTCAATTCTGGGATCACCATGAATGTTACAAGTATAACTGTCACTGTATTCAAGGTGGAAAAATTGCTCAAACGCTGTAACCATTCCTGGCAATTCTGTTAACATTAACATATAGATTGTCTTGCAAGCAGTGACAGACTAGAATATAATTGAATGCCAACAATCATTATTTGAATCATATCATCAACTGAAGTAATCTTTGTTATCTTACTGTAAATTAAAGCGCACAGACTCATTGCGACACATTGTTGTCCAACATTTTCCCCAAATACTGTGACGTTTCCTTGACAGTATGGAGCTTTAATTGTTTTTGTAGCATCTACATAAACTGAAAGTCCTGGATTCTTCTCGATATCAGTACAAAGCTTAAATTGGCCAAAATTAACCTGGTGATTCAAACTGTTTTAAGCACTATAAAATGGATAATTGCACGTACAGAGGGGCAAATTCTCTCCACACATGTCCAATGACACAAACGGATACGATTCGTCAAACCGATGGTCCATTGGTACCAATGGTAGGATTGGTACCAATAGGAAAGGATGTCATTCCAATGGTTCTGTTGGTGAATATGCATCTCATTAAGGGGACTTAGATTATTTTCTCATGTGGTCTGGCTGGGTACAGGGCAATTCCAATGGTCCATTGGTACCAATGGTACGATTGGTACCAATAGAAAAGCACCCTATTCCAATGGTTCTATTGGTGAATATGCATCTCATTAAGAGGACTTAGATTATTTTCTGATGTGGTCTGGCTGGGTACAGGGTAATTCCATATTCACCAATAGAACCATTGAATGGCCCCGGATCGAATGGCATTCATGAAGAAATTACACGAACAAGCAAGTAAAACTCAAATGAACCGCTGCCCCATTTAAAAACGTTTTCAAATATTGGCGGGAATATAAAAAATAGAGAATCATCCATGTGTGTAATGTCTGTCAATGTCGAATGCTTGTAGCAACAACAACAATTCAACAACAACAACTTTATTTGTACCCAGCTGTGCTTATACAGTGGCGGATCCAGACCTTCAGATAAGGGGGGGCACCCTGTCATCCAGACCCTGAGATAAGGGAGGGGGCCAGTCTCAAAAAACATTTTTTCGGCCCTTCGGGCGTGGCCTCAGTTTGGTCTAAAAATAAGAGGGGGCCTGGGCCTCCCAAGCTCCTCCCCTAGATCTGCCACTGTTATATACAAAGTGGGCCATTGACCATAGCCCTACACCAATGTTCCAAAATGTCATTTGCTTAGTTCGTTGGCACAAGCAAACCTCTTTGAGATCTTAACAGTGTCCATAGAATCCGCCATCGAAAGTTGGCCGGGTATGTATAAGTAGGCAGTTGTTCAAACAAAGGCTAAAACAATCCTGCTTCATAATGCTATTCTTGAGTCGTCGGAGGGTAGAAAACGTGCGCCCTGGATGCTACAACTGGTGTTCAATGACATCTTAACATTTCCACTTGACCAATTTTGGGTTGAGAAACATGGCTGTGGTGGTGGTAGGGAAGGGGGTGGGGGCAAGCACCCCCCACCTACTATTTACATTAAAGCCAATTCCCTTTCAAGCAAACAGCTATGACTGTGGCTGAGTTTGTCTGCATGGTAAGCATATTTTGGATAGTATTGCCACAATTTGTAATGGCAAGGACTATAATAATTTACAGTGAGACCTCTATTAAGCGGATCCCCAATTAAGCAGACACTAAGCCGGGTCCCGAAATGGACGTCTGATATTTCGCTTTTTAACAAACCCCTATTCAGCGGACACCTCTATTAAGTGGACGCGGACACTAAAANGTCTGCATGGTAAGCATATTTTGGATAGTATTGCCACAATTTGTAATGGCAAGGACTATAATAATTTACAGTGAGACCTCTATTAAGCGGATCCCCAATTAAGCAGACACTAAGCCGGGTCCCGAAATGGACGTCTGATATTTCGCTTTTTAACAAACCCCTATTCAGCGGACACCTCTATTAAGTGGACGCGGACACTAAAATAAGTTGTATTTGGCTAATTTCTATTGTTAAAAACCTCTATTAAGCAGACACCAGGCTCAATTGACAATATTAGTATTGTATTACGTCCTTGAAATACTTACTGAAGTCAGTTAATGTTTTTGCATTGACAAACAAATTAAAGTTGGTAATGAAAGGTAATGAACTTGAACTCTTGATAGCTTCTTTAACGACATGCAACTTTTTCACAGTACAGAGTAACCGTTAAATGTTGATCAGTAACAAACACTGTGCAACTTTTAAAACCTCTATTAAGCGGTCACCCTCTATTAAGCAGACACTTGGGAAGGTCCCGAAGGTGCCCGCTTAATAGAGGTTTCACTGTAATTGATATAATAATAATGTAATAGTAATGATTATAATTATTATAATTTACATTGTAAGACAATGAAATATTTTTGAACTTTCAGTATTCTGAACATCACTCATGTTCTTAAACTACTGTTATAAATGGTAGCATTAACATGTATGACATTTAGTTTGCACAGAACTTGAGCAGGGGAAAGAAATCCCAATTTCCATCAGGTACTGTACAGAACCTCTGTTAACCAACACCTCCAATAAGATTACATGCACCTCTTACTAACAGACACTAATCTGGGTTCACAGCAATTAATTTCTATGTTAAAAATCTGCATTAATCCCAACTGTTGTAAGTAAAGACATCTTTTCTTGGTAACAAACATCCATACAGATCGGTCAAATCAGACCTAAAATTCTTTTCAGAATAGTTGCCCACATGATAGATCATAGCTATAGCAAAATTTAATACTCCTCTCTGTATGGTAGTGGCGGATCTAGGGGGGGTTCCCGGGCCCCCCCTTATTTTTGGACCAAACCGAGGCCAGAAGGGCCGAAAAAATTTTTTCCGGAGAC